TTACAAATAGCTAGTTTGCGTATGTCGTAAGTCTGTCCATGTAACGATTTGTGACATAATTTCAGTGGTCCCTCAACGGCTTGCGTACTCATACAAAGCATGACAAAGCAAAGTATTGTGTAGTAAAATATGGTCATCAGATATCCATCTGAAATTCGCCTGATAGAATAAAGTCTTTGCTTAAATGGCGTGGGAGTTTTCTCAGCCTTCGCGGCCGATTTGATTGTTGCTGATTTGACATTTCCGGAGACGGCCCCAGTCGATGTGCTGAATCTGTAAAATGAATTTCTGCATCGCAATTTGATCGTTTCGTGCTTGTATCGGATATCGTATCATTATTATTTGAAATATTGAAATTGAAAGTCCGTGGGCGCGAAACAGTGACATCGCTCGCCGGTCGTTCATTTGATTTGGCGCCAAGATTCCTATCCTCAATATCTGCATGCCATAGGTCAGAAGTTGGTAGGTGTGCAACTTTTAAGTTGTCAATTGAACATTCATACGGCTTTGAGTTCCGGTCGACGATAAAATGCTTACTTCCACGTTTTAAGACCTGGAAGGGTCCTTCATAGAAGTTTTCCAGTCCTTTTCTTGATCGACTGATTTTGATAAAAACATGGCTACAATTTCTCAAGTCCTTTGGTATATAAGTTTTCCTTGAAGGCTGTTTGCGTGTTGGATTTGAACAGAGATTTCTGAAAAATCTCTTAAGTTTATTTACATATGTATGAGGGTCAGTATTTGTCGCGTCTGGTTGCGGTTCCACAAACTGTCCTGGAAGGCGTAATGTTGATCCGTAAACTAACTCAGCAGGACTGAAACCCAAATCTTCTTTAACAACTGATCGAATACCAAGTAATACAAAACCCAAATTCGGAAACCAGTCAGATGGATGTTCACAAGCTCTAAGAGAAGCTTTAACAGTTCGATTGAGACGCTCAACTAAAGAATTTTCTTGAGGACGATATGGCGCTGTCAATATATGTTTTGAACCAAGGAATGTCATGAAATCTTTCCAAGTTGTTGATGTAAATTGCGGTCCATTATCTGTAATAACGGTACTAGGAGCACCAAAATGGCTTATATAATTATTAGTGAAAGCGTGTACGATTGTATTAGTCAAACTGTCCTTCAATGGAACACAAATTGGATATCTTGTATATCTGTCAATTATCATAAGCAAATAAACATAACCATGAGATTGGGGGAGTGGTCCAAGTAAATCTACGTTGATAGTGCTAAAACGTTCATCTGGAACTTTGATGTTTTTCAATTCTGTGCGTATGTGTCGTTGAACTTTTGCTTTCTGGCATCGTATGCACTCACGAACAAACTTACGGATGTCTTTACTCATATTCGGCCAGACATAACTGTCTTTTATAAGTTGTTGAGTTCCTGATATTCCTGGATGACACAAATTATGAGTTAGGTTGATAATGCGATATCGTAATGAAGTTGGAATATATGTTCGAGGTTTGCCAGCGAGGCTGACGTCACAAATAATGTTTCCCGCCAATCCTGGGACTGGAAATTGTACTAACTGTAGAGAATGCTTGCTTGCGTTCGTTAAAAGTTGCTTTAGCTCGTGGTCGTTTTGTTGTGCGTTATAGATGTCAGTTAACGGGATAATTTCCTGTTGAGGTACAATGGCATTTATTCCACCATGCTCTGCGGGGTGAATTTCAATTCGGCTCAATGTGTCCGCTGCGATATTCAATGCACCGGCAATGTGTTTTACTGTGAAATCGAAAGTTGATATGTATTCAAGCTGACGGGCCTCCCGTTGGATTAATCGCTCTTTCGGACTTTGAATAGCCTGTACCAGGCTTTTCGAGTCTGAGATTAATTGAAATTTTCTTCCTGTCAATTCATGCCGAAAATATTTGATAGATTCAAAAATAGCCAAAAGTTCCTTGCCAAAAGTAGAATAAGTTTTCTGGGGGCCACGAAGAGCTCTCGAAAACATGCCCAGAGGTCTCCATTGATTATTTTCAAACATTTGCAAAACACCTGATATTCCAATGTCAGATGCATCAGTAATTAAAGAAATGGGTGCTTGATGATGTGGATGAACCAACAGCGTAGCATTGGCTAAAGCATGTTTAATGTCATCAAAAGCTTTCAAAGATTCATCATTCCATTTGATTCGAGAACGTTTACTAGGCTTCCCAACTGTCATCTCATTTAAAGGTCGTATAATGGTAGCAAAGTTCTTTACAAAACGATTATAATATGTACAAAGACCAATAAAAGATCTTAATTCTCTCAATGTGTTCGGTTGAGGATATTTTTGCAATACTTCCACCTTGTCGGCTAAGGGTTGTATTCCTTCGGGCGTAACATGATGGCCTAAGAATTTAATTTCTGATTTGTTGAAATGGCATTTATCTGGATTTATAGTAAGTCCATAAATGTGTAAGCGTTCTAGAACTTGATCTAGTGTTCTGAAATGTTCTTCCTCTCTTTTGGTTGCAATGAGAATATCGTCGAAGAATACAAATATATTGTCGATGTTCGCTAAAACTTCGGTCATGAAATAATTGAACGTCGCTGGGGCAGATGCTAGCCCGAAACAAAGAGTTTTAAACATGTACATTTTATTGTTGCAGGAAAAGGCTGTTTTTGGTTGATCCGATTCCAAGATAGGAATATGATTATAAGCTTTTGTGAGATCAAGTGTAGTGAAATGTCGACAGCCATGCAATTTATTGACAAAATC